GCCACGGATGGTGGAATCCGGGTTCTGCCGAGCGTGGGTCGAGCTACCGCGGGGATGATGCCGGCGTGGGTTTCTCGGGTTAATGGGTCACAGACCAGGTGTCTTGGTAGGCAGCGCTGCTTTAAATCCAAAAGCAAAGGGAATCCCATGAAGAGTGATTCAGCTTGTGCCATGAGAAAGCACGTAGCAGGCCCCGGAGCTTCCTCGCTTTCGGTTATTGAAAATGGGTGGTTTCAGTCCCAGCGTGTGAGACGCCAAGCAGGTTGTCTCTCTGGAAAGTCTTTTCTTCTGCATTGTGCACCTTGGTTCCTCCTCAAGGTGGGATTTGCACAGTTCGGCTTCTTTCTGGGTCTGTTGGTTGCTAACCATTTTGCTCAAGTATCAGCAGCATATTAAAATACAGTGATTACTATAGATTTGTTGTTTACAGAAAGAGACAGAATATAAGGAATATATTATTGTATCCACTTCTAGCTCCTAGAAGAAGCTTCTCTGAGACAATGTACGATTGATTTTACTTTTCCCCTCAGATCTCACAGTACCGAGAAAAGCAAATTTAATATAATAGGCTTGTAGGCCCCCAGGTACAACGAATATTTTCCATTAGCTCTTCAACTCGTAGCAGTCGTGTTTCCCATTTTCCTGGGGCCCTAGTGATAGCATGTTTATTACAGGAGCTGTCACTCCATGTCAGGGGGCAGCAGGTAATAATTTTTTGTCCATCTCTGCCTCATTCGCTCCCTATAGTGCCTATTTTTTATCATATCAATGCAAATTTGCCTTATCTTAGGCTGTCTGAAGCCTGCCCGACTGTAAACCTGCCTCTTGTGTCTCATATAGGTGTCTTTAAGCTTTACTGCCTCAGGTTTCTTTGATCTAGTATCAGGCATTTAGGCAGAATAGCTTTACTGAAAATAACAAGGCCTCTAGTCTCGTGACCCAATATGCTAAAATATAAGATAAGTTGTTTTAATATATCTCACCTCTTATTTCCCAGGTGTGTATACACAGGCTTTATCTCTGAAATCTTGCCAGAGTGAAATGGAACCTCAGTTATGTTTTTAAACAGGAATATTGTGTTCTCTGATAAGTTTATTGTTGCAGGGTTTTTTTTCCTTTAAATGTCTGCTTAAATCCCTGTTAATCAGAACTACAATGTTTATCCTCTGAACTCAGTTGGGAGAAAACAACAAATATTATTTTTAGCCTTGTAAGAATTTAGATTAGTGTGACATCAAACCTGTGAAATCATGATGAAAAGGGCAACTGAGGCAATTGAAATAATTCAGCCACCTACCATATATCATGCAAAGCTTGGAAATGCTATCAGAAAACTGAAAGCCGTAAGAAATCTGTTATACCCGAATCTCTGCAGCACGTGATTTGTCAGTTGTATAGCAGGCAACATAAAATGCCATCCTGTAAACGCTGTGAAGGGAAGAGCTCATGGTGCAGTGAATTCCCCAAACAGGAAGTCTATGCTGTGTATCCTAGAACTTGGTGTGTGATCAGCCAAAGAGCAAAGCCATTTGGGAAGCTATTGTGGGCTTGTACTAATTTAGGTATTACTCAATGCCCTTCTGGTATGGAGCAGACAAAGGTGAAGTGACTTAGAGACACAGGAATAGACCTTGATCTGTTGCAACTCATTTCCCAGCTACAGCTGAATCCCATGCAGATGTGCCTCACAGCCTGGGAAAACCCCTAGCTCTCTCAAACCTAGTATTTTCTGGAGAGAGGGAGGAAGGGAGGGAGTTGTGTCTTTTGTACCATGCTTTTCTTGAAGGTTGCCTTTTTACTTTGATCATTTCCTAGAATTTCTTACAATAAAAAACTTTTTCCATCACATAGATAAGTACCAACAATTGCCCTTAATTTCACGTCCATCTAAATTTGAAGTTTTTCCTGTTGTAAAAGCAGCAGGCTTTAGTCCAGGCTTCCCCTTTTCCCCATGAGCTCTGACGACCTTGTCTTTGGCTAGATCTACATCAGTGGGTCCAGATGCAAGTCAGCTCTCACCTGGGAGCTGTATAGCCACATCAACACAGCGCTGTGCTGAGCAAATCATGATGGGCATAGCCCTGGCTTGTACGTAGCCATGACCCAGCACAGCTATATGGCTTCTGAATCAGACTGGCTCACATCCAAAGGATCAGTCTTAGATGTGCTGTAAAAGTCCTGTGTTTGGATATCCTAGTTGTGTACTTGTGCCTGTACCAGCTTGTGCTGGTATAAAATCTAAATCTTTTTTTTTTCTTAGAATTATTCTTCATGGTCCAAGTATCCTTACTGTCAACAAACCCATATTTTTCAAGAACATTTGAGATATAAGGCATACCAATTAGTTTATAATTTTTGAGCATAGAAGCATACTCAATCTTAAATAAAACTTGAGCTTCTCGAATCCACATGCTGCAAGGTCTGAATTTGTAAAGATGCATCAAGTTCATGTTTATGCAGAGGTTTGAGAGAGCATTCACACAGACAAATTCAGGCATCCAAACATCATGATGCTGGTACCTTCTTGCTTCCTGTGCAATCAGGAAATGTTCTTTCCAGAGGGTGATTCAAAGCAGGGGCCCAATTTGAAGGAACAATTCATGTGAAAAAAACATAGTTAGTTGTTCCTTTTCCTTCAGAAACTGAATCATAGAATCGTTTAGGTTGGAAAAGACCTTTAAGATCATCAAGTCCAACTATTAACCTAACACTGCCAAGTCCACCACTAAACCGTGTCCCTAAGCACCACATCTACATGGCTTTTAAGTACCTCCAGGGATGGTGATGCCACCACTTCCCTGGGCAGCCTGTTCCAGTGCTTGACAACCCTTTTGGTGAAGAAATTTTTCCTAATATCCAATCTAAACCTCCCCTGGTACAACTTGAGGCCATTTCCTCTTGTTCTGTTGCTTGTCACTTGGGACAAGAGACCAGCACCCCCCTGGCTACAACCTCCTTTCAGGTAGTTGTAGAGAGCGATCAGGTCTCCCCTCAGCCTCCTTTCCTCCAGGCTAAACAGCCCCAGTTCCCTCAGCTGCGCCTCATGAGACTTGCTCTCTGGACCCTTCACCAGCTTCGTTGCTCTTACCCATATTATTTTAGTGCACCTCAATGTCCGCTAAATTTAAATGGTTGGAGAATCGTGAGTATTAGAATCTCCACGCTGCAGGAGATTAATATTGAGCCTCAGTGAAAACTCAGGCTTTGAAGATGGGCAGTAAAACAGGACAAATATAGCTGGTTATTACCATTATGGTTACACAGGATGGTGAAAGTTGGGCTTCTGACTGTATCATTTCTTACTGGAAACATGGATGAAATGTGTGATGGAAATAGAGAGATTTGTGTGGTAAAACAAAACTGGGGAAGCTGTCTTGTATTTGCAGATTCTAATTTGTCTTACAGTATTTTGTTATCAAAACAGTGTAGTAGGAAACAAATGGTGCAAGGTGATGGTACTGCATATAGGTACATAATTTTTTTAAAGACAGTATCGTCAACCCAATATTTGCTTTGAGTTGCCTAGTATTGGTGTGGTAATATTTTTTATTTGTTTTTTTTTGTTGTTTTCTTTAAGTGATAGAAACCACCTTCTAAAAGAAGCAGAGATATTACACAAAGCCAGGTTCAGTTACATTCTGCCAATTTTGGGAATTTGCAATGAGCCTGAATTTCTGGGGATAGTAACAGAATACATGACAAATGGGTCATTAAACCAGCTTTTACATGGGGTAAGTGTATTTACAGTCTTTAGATACGATCCCTGGTTGTTTCAAATAGCTTGTGATTTCCATACTTAAGTAGTAAAGTGTATTATTAATAACATTTCAAATTAAAGGACAGTCATTATCACTAGTAGGTTTTGGTGCTCAGTTAAACTTTCTGTATCCCTGAAAGGCAACCAAACTGAGCAGACTTTGGTTTTATTACACTTTTTCCTTTAATGTCGTGACCTATAACTGGCTTCATGTTGAATTATTATATACAGTCTCTGTTGTTCTCTAATTAGAAGCTGAAATACTTATCATTACTTCAGCCTGGGTTTCAGAATTATTGCCAATGTAAATATCACGCAAAGATGAGGGTTTTTTTCCTGAATTTGAATCTTTATAAAAATATTGAAGATTTTTACTTTAGTTTATAGAAGTCAAATATTGTTTATCTAAACGGATATGGATATTTCTACCAGATCTTACTCTCAGGAGTAAGTTCTGTGCTGAACTCTCAGCTGCTCCCATTAGTTTGGTTTGAGCATCCAATGGTGCTACTGTAAAGCTACTGCACTTGTGTCTCAACAGCACTGCAGTCTCTTCTGTACCTTTAATCCATACATATCTCATGCCTTAGAGAGCTCAGCTGTGTGTTTTTCATAAAAGAATTAGTGTCAATGTAACTTTTAAGATTTCAGTTGAGTTTTACTGCCTTTTTCTTGGTGTATTAATATTTACAAAGGTAAATTTTGTGCTTGGTTTCACCACAGCTTCCCCCGCCCAATATCAGCTGAGGATATGATTCTTGCCTTCCTTTCTGTAGTACTCATAATCTCTAGGTTGCAAGTTTCATACAGGAGTTCATCTGTAAATCATATTTCCATATAAATGAGTAATGTAGTAAATGTCCTACATCATGTGTAGCAGTCATGAACTATTACGTGAATGCTAGGGAATGGAAACATAACACTGCATGATTAAGATTTATATACTTGTTTTAACAGCTAACTAGTCTTAATGCTCAGTTACAATTTTTTAAAGAGTTCATATAATGTATGTTTTAAAAGATTACTGCTTGTCCAAGTCACTTTCTTCTTATTATAAAAGACTTTGTGTTGTGCTGTTAGAGCAGAGCAGAGGATTATATTCTGGTTTTGTGGTTTTATCTTGGCAGAAAGATGTATATCCTGACATTCCCTGGTGCCTGAGATTCCGTATTCTTTATGAAATTGCTTTGGGAGTAAACTATTTGCACAACATGAATCCTCCATTGCTGCACCATGACTTGAAAACCCAGAATATTTTGCTGGATGATGAGTTTCATGTCAAGGTAAAGTTACTGAATTCTTTTGTTCTTCAGTGTAAAAGAAATCTACCAGACGTGAGTTACTCTAGGTTTGCTTTATTACAGCGCTGGATGCACGGGGGACAGCTCCACCAAACGTGCATCCAGGTGATTACCAACATAGAATCAAAATATACATATTCATTATTTTTCCAAGAAAAGGCAGTCTTATGATAATCATTTCTTAGAATCCATTTACATATTCTCCTCCACATCAATCACGCTCAGAGATTTGAGTCAGTGGACCTCAAGGGTCTCTGGTGGTCGTCAGTGGTCTCGCACCCGTGTCCACTGGATGACCCTCTTCTTCCAGGCATGCACAGTATCCTCGCTGTGGATGCACCTGTTCACGCACCTGTCTATAACAACTTACTTCATAAGATTAATATTCCCGGGCCTGTTGTCTGGTTGGGTAGGGACTGTACAAGGAACGTAGCAGCATTGTACATTGCCATGGTCAGTTAGCTTCATTACTATTACCTTGGTTACAAACTCCTTTCCCACGACTATAGGCTTTGAAACAGTTCTAGGCCTTAAGCAGCTTTCTAGTTAACATAAGTTTTCTTATAGCTAAGCTTCTATATTTTCTACATTCAGCATCCCGAATAAGCAAAAGTGTTTTAATTATTGTAGAGGAGGAAGAGTGAGGATGTGACCATACAGAGGGGATGTAATTGTATGCCAGATGTTTTCTTCTGTCCTTGCAGACAGAATTTTTGAGTTTTTCTTTTGAAAACTGCTCTGCTCAAGTATGGATTTGATCCATCTGAAAAGGCCAGAAAAGCCAGAACTCGGGCTATTTCAGCTATAGCAGTACCTGATACTCAATAGCAGTGACACTCTCGTATGGCAGCCTTCCAAGGGTAGCTATGTCTGGCCTGTTCTGAGAAGAAAATAGAAAACGTTCCTGTCTGAGATGCTCAGACAAGTTAGTTCTGGAGGATAGTAGGTCAAATTCAAAAGTTAAAACCCCATTTGATATTTCTCATGCAATATGTACCTATATGTTCTGTTAGTGTAGCATAAGAACATGTAAAACATAACTGCAAAATCTGAACCTGTCGGAAGATGGCTTTTGTGAAGCAAGCATACATAGAGAAGTAACGTAAGTTTAAAACTTTAATTCTACCTTTTAAAATATTACTGTCATGATGTGAAAAAGAGACTAGAAATACTTCTGACAAAATGGTTAGGTGCTTCCATAATTGCAAGAGTTGGGGTTTTTTTCTGTAACAGATCCTCTGTTTGTAAAATTTATAGAATATACTGTTCAAGTAAATGAGAAGTAAGAGATACTTTGCCCTTAATTTATACCTAAATGGCGAATGCTTCAGTTGTTACCGTGAGATGAATCTTTTTGTGAATCCTCTGAGCAAAGATCAAAGGCCCAGTGCTGATTTCTTCTTTCTCCATTGCAAAGACATTTTTCTTGGCAGCAAGGTGCCTTCTGCTCACACCCTCAGCAGATGATACCTCCTCCTACCCACTTGTGCTGATATTGCCATCTCTCGAGCTTCCTGATAAACCTGACTGGGGAACTGGACCAAGTAATTTTTCAATTTTTTTATCCACTCTTTTTTGAATCCCTAACAGCATTGATGTGGTCTGATGCTCAGCCTGACCACATCTAAGCAGTTGCTTTGCTGGAGCAATTGAAGGGAAGAGGTTAACTCTCGCATACCTGCCCTGCCTCATGTAAGGAGTCTCTGGAAGGCTGTCCTTAGGGGCTTTAAGTGGGTTTTCTGGGGACAAAACAAGATTCTCTAAATTAGAACAGCTGGCGGGAAATGCACAGAAGGTTATCAGGCATGCCAAATAGAAGACGTATTGCATATGTATAAAAGGAACACCATTTATAGAGTGCTTCCGGCTGTCCCAGATCTACTGAATGAGCAAGATAACGCAACCAGTTACAGTGAGGAAGGCTTGATGAGAGTGAGTTGTAGAGAAAAAAAGGTTATTTTTCACTGTAGATTTTGACTGTATGCTCTCCAGAAAGCTTATATCTGTTATCTCAGTTGCCCCAGTGCTCGCACAAGCATCTTTGTTGAAAAAGTTTTTGCTCTTATGCAAATACCGAACAAGTGCAGGGCTCATAGCTACTGCTTATCTTTCTCCCTTGCATGCCAGGCACTCTGCAGCTCAGCCAGCAAGCTTATTCTGCTGGGTGTTTGTCGCCTTACCCGTAACCTAGTCTGACATCTTGCTCGCAGGCTCGTGGATCTCTGGGAATGTAAACTGAAGTCAATTAAATTCTTTATGACAAGGTCCCAGCGTGCACAGTAAACAAAATATTCAGCAACCCTTTGCACCACAGAATTTCAGAATATCAAATTTATTAAATCAAGATTAATATCTCATAGTTTTAGAGGTGAGGTGGAGTGCCCTAAAATTTTTCTGTGAGAGCAACTGTCTCAGGATATCTGCAAGCTAAGTTACGTAGACCTGTTAGGATTTACACTAAATCTGTGCTTTGTTCACAACCAGGGAGCTAGAAGTACTCAGTGTTTTTTTGTTTGCTTTTTTTAACCAAAGAAAGTGATTTTCTTCATACAGGACAGACTCCCATAGCAGATTCTCCAGCCGTAGAGCATATGAATCCTTTAAAAGAATAACAAGATAGGGCAGTGCTATAGGGATAGCATGAGTCATGATCTGGGAACGCTTTCTGACCTGGAGCTGGTGTTTCCTGTTGCTAGGACAAACACGTACTTTTTGTGTGTCAGGTTAAGGACTTTTAGTTATCCGTTCTTTCGGGCATATTTCAGCAATTTCTCACAACGGTCAGCAGATAAATCCAGTTTTTCTGCTCAGAACAACTGATTTGTCCTTTCCAGATTGCAGATTTTGGCATGTCAAAATGGCGTGTCATATCCATGTCGCAATCACGAAGTGAAACCTCTTTGCCAGAAGGAGGAACGATTATCTACATGCCACCTGAAGATTACAATCCCAGTCAGAAAACCCGTGCAAGTGTAAAACACGATATCTACAGGTAACTCATGTTGTTCTAAAGTGGGCTTTGCAATCTGAATTCAGATTTGATTTACTGAACTTAGACTTTAACATATTTTCAGCAATTTTGTTATTTTCAGAAGTGTTGTAAGTGTATAAGCAAAATGAATGAGGGAAAATAGAATTGAGTGGTAGCTGGATTCGATCACCTGTTTCTTTAGGAAGCACTGTGACAAGCGTAATGCTCCAGAAATTAAGCTAGAACTACAGAAACAGAGGAGACTGGTTTCTATAAACCAACATACACATAGAGACAATGTAGGGAGGGGAAGAGGTGTTCATGCCATTATCTCAATGCACATACCCTTGTAATTTGTGCATATCAATTAACATAATTTGCAGAATGTAGTCTGGGGAAAGAAGAAAACATATTTTTGGAAAAGGGTTAGAAAAAAACAGGATAATGGGGTTGAAGGAAGTATTTAGAGACATCTCCTTAAGGAATAACTTACTTTATGAGTGTTCAGGTAGATTTGCATCAGTCAGTTCCGAGTAGTAGACGTAATGGAATAGGAAGTAGCAGAGTGGTGGCGACCCATACAACAAAACAGCAATTGCTCTTAGGATATTAGAGTTACAGTTAGCTAATCTGAAAAGGCTTGGAGAGCTCAAAGCTTACTGGAACGACCGTGGAGGGAATTGTCATGTGTAAATGGAGATGAGGAGGCATGAAGAGGCATATCACTGTGACAAAGTCCACCTCTCTTGCACTCTACCACCTCTACCTTCAGCGATCTTTGACAGGGTTATATATTGGTGAGAGATGAATCAGTCTCAGAGGGTCTTACTGACTTCCAGGGAGACTACTACTTCTCTTAATTATCCCTTACCTTTACGGGGCACACAAAGTTCCTTGACATTGCTGTCCAAAGAATAGAGATGGTAACATACCTGCTTTCCTTACTATTTGCTGAGAAAATCTGGACTAGGAAGACATTGAAAAGGAATAATGGTATATTATGGGGGAAGAAGTAGCAGCATGACATTACCTCCTCTGGCTTCTTCTTTTAGAGGATTTGAAAGTGTGGCTGGTGGCTTGATGAGTTCAGTGGAGATGAGGAAGACAAATGTGTATTAGAAAGACAAAAGGAAAAAAAAAAAGGTGTGCAGAGGAATAACAACAAAATGGGAGAAAATAAGAGAGAAAAGATCAGTAGAAGAGCGTAGAAAACTGATAAATTAGGAAGGAAAGAGATTGTTTGAGAAGAGAGAAAAAAACCCAAGACAACATCGTAGAGAGGGATGGCAGTTCAAGGAAGGAAGATGTGAAGGTAGAGAGATAGTGAAGGAAATAACCACCAGAAAGGTCACACAGGAAGATCAGTGCTTAGGATCAGATAGAGATACTATGAAGCAGAAATAAGAAAGGAAAATATGAATAGTTTAAAGGGCAGTCAGCCGGAA